CTGCTACTACTACTACTACCACCACCTCTACTTCTAGTACGACGACGTCGACGACAGCTTTATTTCTACGACTTCGTCCTCTCCTACTGGTACTGCTGCACTTCCGCTGTAACTACTGCTCATATATGCAGCGGCACAACAGAGAAACCTGTGCTCTAGATGAAGCCTACAAGCCCTACAACCGACCGGCCAGGCGCCTTCATGTCCTCCGTGTTGATCGCCGAGCTCTTGCCGGGCTCAAGCATTTCGGGATTCTTGTCCTTCCAACTTTGCGGTGCATAGTTTTCAAAAAGGTCTTGATATAGCTCGGCTCCATCTCCCTAGCTCCGAGGCCACGCTGTCAGTTGCAACTACAAGGCTGGAAAGACCGCAACCCATCGCTAAGCTGCACGTCCTCAGGGAGGTTCTTGTAGATGAACTGGTCCTCCAATCTACAGTCTATCCACTGCAAACTATTGTGGCGTCTGATCGGGCGTGTCCTTTCGCAAGGGCTGCTTGGGTTCCATGAGCATTTGCGTGGACGGTAAACACAGTCACTAAATGGTCTAATGGACACCCTCAACCCGAAGAACCACCCAAACTCAGGTCTGACGTCGGGCACAGCTCCTGGATTTTTGGTAATTCTTGCATGCTTTGCTGAAAGGGTTCAACGGCTCCTGGCAATAGCATGCGTCGAACTGTTAACATAGGGCGGGTCCGGAATAATCAGCAAGACGACCCTATTGTATTTCTTAAGGCCCCTGCATTCCCCGGTCGCAACCCTTCTCCCTCAACCCTGCCTTGTGGTACTTCATCTCCCTCGACCACATGTGCTGGGCCTCTGGGGCAGATTTACAGCTCGGCGGTTATTCCTCTCTGACACTCTCGCGAGTTGCCATGGATGGCTCGCAGTCCTGTAGGTCAAGACAACAAAGCGCTTTCGGGGTAGTTGGGAGTGCAGTGCTAGCACCTGGTAGTAGTCGTTTTCGTGCTCGAGCATCTGCATCTCGGATCTGCACGGCATGCCCAGGTAGACACCTGAGCCAAAGGTCCGAAAAACTGGAGCGAGGCTACGTAGGGGATTAACCTTGGGATGTTGACCAAGCCCGTACCTCGAGGGCGAAACGAGTTCAGGAGGAGCATGGTGTTCCGAGCCGACCTCTCAGTTCTCGAACAGTGCCCCTCCCCAGTCGCGATGCAGCACATCATCCTGGAATTCAGCATTACAGTTTGGGGATTCGAGCACCGTTTTAGTTGCAGTTAAGCCGCATCGCAGCCCCAGGTCTGAACAAAGCTGCCGTTACCGTCCTCCTTCCTCTCAGCATCTCCGACCACGGCCGCCACCATCACCAACCAACACCAGCATAGACATCACCGCCATCCTCGTCATGGCCAACATCAGCATCATCGTCACCATCATTATTGTCATCATCATAAATGTCTGAATCTCGATTGCTTGTCGGCATCTTCTTTAGCCTCACGAGCATCAGTCGCAGCGAAACCGCTATCAGCATCAACACCATCACCATGAACCTCATGGCCGGCAGCGTTTGAACCAGTTCCAGCGTCCATCTCACTGGCATGCCTTCACCATCATCACCGCCGTCATCATCCATACCGCTTAACTCTTTTGAAGCATCGCGAAGTACTGGGACAAAGAGAAGGCCGAGCCACGCATCCAAACCGACAGCGGGAAGACAATCCTTTGCTGCCATTGCCACGAGCTTTGTCAGGATAGGTCTTTGGTTTGGTTTGCCCTGAGAAAACAGGCCTTTGGGATCTGCCGAGTCCTCCCAGATACAACTCCCTCTTGCGGCGAGTGGCGAGAATATGGTGGAAATAACTATGCAGATGATGAACTGGGACAACACCTCAGTGCACCACATGTCGCGGTCATCATCAGCACTCCGACTGCGGCTGCGAATACTTTCGCTTGTCGTGGTTACGGTTGACTTCGCATTCCACCAATCCAGAGCATCCTCTTTCTGTACAACCGCACGCAAAATATCTAGAAACGTTGATAGTAACGAACGTATTCAAGTGTGTCCACCAGCTACCTACCTTTTTACATTTCTCGTCATAGCCGGGCATCTGCCAACCCCGTCGCGAGGATATGTTGCGTTAGAGTTGCATTAAAAGACCCTTATAAGGAACCCCTATGTTAGTTCCCCACTGCTCTTCAATGGTGCCATGCTGAAGCTCAGTTCAATCCGGCCCGTTTCTCTGCTGATGCCCCCGAAGCCTCTCAGGCTGATGATATGATACAACATGATACTGTAATATAGTATCATATAGTATCACATAGTATCATGCTATGATACGATGTGATATTACATGATATTACATGATACTAGACTATACCAAACGATACTATACACTGTACTATATAGTTGTGGTCAATATGCCAGCCGACCTTTCTTGCAAGGCCCCTTCGATCATGCCCACACTTACACGCCTATACTTACTCCTCGTACTCCCAGCGGCTGTTCTTGCTATCAGACACATTGTAAATCTCCCATCTTCTTCATAAGAATGAGCAGACGGAACCACAACACTAGCAACTTACCACACTGCTGTCTTTCTCCGCGGCGCACTGTTCTCCACCTTCGAAAAGAACAGGACAATGCCCCAAGAATCGCACAGCATCACCAACAAGAGCAGAATACCCCGCACAAGTGCAAACTGCTTGAGGCAACTATGTTGCTATGCTTAAGTTTCATTTGATGCACACGACGCTACTACCATTGCCCTGATTTCTGTAGATGGCATGACAATCTGTAGGCTTACCGGACAACCTCCACAACTGCTAGCGAGCAACAACCGTATCTCTGGTCCCGCTGTGGAAGTACAACGTTTGCATTGCGACTGCACCTGAGCCTTTGTAGTGCCAATCCCGCAACAAGCCCTGGCAGAAATACCAATTGTCCATATTCTTCGCCATCTCTGCACCGTACCTCCATAAAGTTCGCGCAATCCATTTGTGTTATCCTGCAAGACTCCTGATACAAATCCTGTGAAAATGAGGTGACCAAACCCGAAACACCCAAATCCTTACTTTGCACACCCCTTAACCCAAAACCCTAAACCCACGGTCCAGCTCCTCCTGCACAAAAGGAGAACATCGGCTCCCCTCTGAGGAATCGGCCAGGCTCTGACAGGGGCAGAAGGGGGTATTACGGTTTAGGGTTTGGGGTTTACGGGTTTAGGGGTTTAGGAAGAGGCTCATCTGCCATTGTCATGAAGCGTGCTTCCTCATCTTGGATGTTGTTATCACTGAGTGCTGGCGGCGGTGGTAGTGGTGGCAGTGGTGCTAGTGGTGGCAGTGGTGCTAGTGGGGCTAGTCTGCTGTTAATCCTGGTGGTGATTCTCATGGTGGTAGCAGTGGTGGCAGTGGTGGCAGAGGTGGTGGGAGTAGTGGTGGTGGTGGTGGCAGTGGTGGCAGCGGTGGTGGTGGTGGTGCAAGTGGTGGCAGCGGTGGTGGTGGTGGTGGTGGTGGTGGTGTTGGTGATGGTGGTGGTGGTGGTGGTGGTGGTGGTGGTGGCGGCGGCGGTGGTGGTGGTGGTGGTGGTCTCGGCACTGGTCGTGGTGGTAGTGGTGATAGTGGCAGCGGTGGCAGTGGTGGCAGTGGTGGCCGGTGTGCTAGTGTTGGTAGTGGTGGTAGCGGTGGTAGTGGTGGTAGTGGTGATTGTGGTGGTAGTGGTGATTGTGGTGATTGTGGTGATTGTGGTGGTAGTGGTGATGCTCGTCGTAGTGTTGGTGGATATCGTATGGGAACCTGAATTTTTAAGACCAGGGTTGTATTTGGGGGCACTGTACGCTAGATTTGAAAATGGATGATCCGACACCAACGGCTCCTGCACTTATGAGTGTTTGGAGGCTTCAGGATGTGACATGATGGCTCAAATATCCGAGGAGTGGATGAAGTGACCCAACTTCATCAGGATCGTAATGCAGCCTAAGAAGCTTCGAAGATGTTGGCTTTCGGGTTTTGCTTTGAAAGAGTTGTGCTTCGACTTGACACCGCCAAGGCTTGGCAGGCTCCGACAGGACCCAGACCATGCTGCACCATGTTGCACCGTACTACTATGTGGTTGTGCTCTGGCCCCACAAGGTCCACACAAATCTGGCTGCTGACATGATCACGGGCCGTCCCCCGCCTTGTCTGCATACGACGGCGTGACGAAAATGAAGAAGGACACGGAGTAGAAGATGGGCCCAACCCACTTCACGAACCTGCGACGACGAGCCATGCAGTCAGGGCGTCTGGCTTCGGGCTTGGATCTGGTCCTCCCTGTCATGCACTCGCTCGTTGCCTGATGCCTTCTGAGCCTCTGCCTCTGCCTCGCTCGCGAAGCTATACGATCTTGTTCGGCTTACTGTCGGTTTCTCCACTTGGCAGGTGCTTAGATGCAGGTGAATCAGTGAAACTGCGGAAGGAACATGAGCGATGCAGGGCAGGCAAGAGCCCCCCCAAGCCCGTGACTTCTCAGGGCATCCAGCATCTCAAGATTGGGACTTTGCACAGCTGGCTAAACCCTAAACCCGAATCCCTAAACCCGAAACCCTAAATCCGAATCCGCTACTGCCCCAGAGCCTAAACCCCTGAGTTAGCCACTTGCCGTGCGCCTCACGAAGAAGTTCGCGATGTCGGCACTCAAGGGCTTGGTCGGCCTATGGCAAAATGAACAACGACAGCTAATGTAGAAGCCTAAAGACTTACCAAGATTATTCCTACTAGGGTTCCTAATTATGACTATGCTGTAAAGGAGCCCAAACCCTATCCTAATTATGAAGCCCACTCTACACTGGAGGGTGCTTGGTTTTGAAGTCGTACAGCTATTGCGAAGTTATCTCAGTCTCTCTCAGTTGAGGCCAAGAGAACTTGCGGAGTTGTGAAACGCCAAACATTTTGTGCGAAGTCCTCTGCCACCAAACATCGGCGATCCGCTGGATCAGGGCCCTATAGGGGTCTTAACAATTAGAGTAAGGTTTCGGGCGGGAGTCTACTGCAACTTTAGAGGGAGAACAGGGATGCTGCAATATTACTCGTTCTTCCGACCACTCTATTCATTCCTAAACCTCAAACCCCACCCACCTTGCGTACCAGGTCAGGAGGAGGTACTTGTCCATCCAGTACTGCATGCCTCGACAACGTGGGGCTGCTGATCATCGGATTCTGAAAGACCGTAAGCCTGCACTGCGTACTATCAGTTACTATCACCGCAGAAATCGGCAAAAGCATGCATAAGTATGCGTACTCCCCACAGGTATGTGGTTCACATGTGGGCTTTGAGGCCCAAACCCTACACCCAAAAGCCTTGGTTGAGTGAGTTGTTTACTGACCTCTGCTCCCACCGAGCACCCAGCACAAGCCGATCAGACCCACGAGGGAGATCAAGGGCAGGACTGGCTCGTAAAGCCTTGCAGTTTAGGATTATACTAGGAAATATACTCCATATTTGTAATATGAAAGTAATGATATGTGACATAACCAAAGGGCATTGGGGTTCAAGGCTGTGTTGGTTTTAGTTTAGGGTTCGTGGGTTCAGCTTTTTGGGGAATTGCGGTTTCGAAGCCGGGGTCCCCTTCGCGCCTATCAGCTCTCAAGTGCGGACATAGACCCTCTCAATAAGGTCCCTTTTAAGAGAGCCATAAGTAGGATTAAGAAGGGCCCCCTTGCAGGGGTCTCCCAAATACCACCTAAGAAATTCCTTCGTGGCAGTAAGGCCTGCAGAACATGCGCCCTCACTCCCGGGCACGCTTCGGCTCCTGCAGGAACAGCCCTGAGCTTTACAACTGAACGATCAAGGGTCAAATCCGGAGAGACAGTCATGTGGTATTATCTTGACCTTTCAGCCCAAGCATTCGACGCCAACGCCATCACCCCCCTCAACCCCACAATCAGCAAGCATCAGCCAGTCTCCGACAAAGTTTCGGAGCTCTTAGCGTGCTTGGGCCTCATGGAGGGGAGGCAGCTTGAAAGCCCCCGGCCCTATGCAACAAAGCAACCCCGTAAGCCTCAAATTCCTCAACCCGAAACTCGATACCTCCCCAGCAGTCCCTCAGTTCTCTGAGGACTTGGCAGACAGCACAGGAAGGTCTTCAAGGCATTGGCATATCTCCTGTAAATCGTTGCTCTGGGGCTGAGGGGCCTTGGATTTCGGGGCTTGGGGAAGGCGAGCTGGGGATATAATAGACCATACTATACTATAGTGTACCAGCATATATACTATACTATACTCTAATGTATTAGAATATGATATGATTTATACTCTAGTAGACTAATGCCACTGTGCGGCCTCTGAGCTGAAGGATTTCAGGACACACATACCTAAACCCAAAGCCTTAAACCCAATGCCTCGTGGCGTTCATCGAAGAAGGCGCCCAAGCCTCCGAAAAGGGAGCAGCCGAACGGATCACAAGTCCGGTCTGCTGCTTGCATGGGCTACATCTTAAAAACTGCTGGGAAAGTCGCAAATACCATCTCGTTTACGCAGTATCTAGATACGACTCATCTACTACAAGTATTCGACGTCTATCTGCATGTGATGATGTACCGTGCATTTGTGTGTGTGTGTGTGTCTGCTCATGTATTTTTTCTGTTGTGTATGGGTATCATGCGCCAACATTTGCATGTTTCCTTCCACAGTTGTGCACACACGCACAGCCATGCATGCATGTTTGGGTGGATGGGTGAATGGGTGGACGGCTGGCTGGATGGCTGGATGGATGCATGGATGTATGGATGCCCGGATGGATGCCTGGATGCCATGGATGTACAATGCAATAGTTTTCGCATAGTTTAGATACCATGCTGAGCCAAACGAGAAGAAAAAGCAGGAACTGACGACAAAGCCCTGCAACTTGCATGTACAATATACAGCAGTCTAACATACTGTAACGAATCTATAAGAACTCATAATACACACGAATACTTAATGAGATGTAAGTTATGAGTAGTTACTGGCCTTCGTACCAAAGTAAAAAAAAATTGCCTGTTCGCTTTCAATGTAAGCACATATAGGCATGTCAAACGAAAACAGTGATCCACATAAGTAGTACAAAAGCTCGGCAGTCCCCGAACAGAACGATTTGACCCATTACCCGGACTCTACCCAGACACATCCCACGCTTTGTCGAGGGCCCCAAGAAGTTGTTGGACCGATTTGAAGAGACCCTAAACCCTAAACCCTGGTCGTATTCGAAGACTGCTGCGAGCCTTCTTGAACTTTTCAATCTGAGCTTTCACCTCCTTCAGTTCCTGCGAGCTTCGGAGTTGGAGACACAATGCACGTAATATGATATCATACAGTATAACAAAATATAGTAATTTCATATACCAATATAATCATATAACATGACAAAATATACAACAGTATATTATATCATAACATGTATATCCAAAGTTTCAGGAGTCCGGCTTCCAGCCCTAGAGCGTGGGATGTCCATGGCTTCCGACTGCCTGGTGTAGGGGTCTTAATGATTAGAGGGTTTTGGGTTTAGGGTTTTGGATTTTGGGTTTAAGTTTTGGGCTCCTGTATCGTATAGAACCACTGCACCCTCCCCTAACCCGCAAACCCTCAACCGCTTCGTCCCAAAAGTCCAAACCCCTGAATCCCTCAACCTATACACCTCTTCTTAAAATTCCTACGCCCTAAACCCCTGAACTCTAAACCCTAAACCCGTGTAAACTCCTATGAGCCCTAAACCCCCACCCTTAACCCCTGGAGCCCTCAACCCCTCAACCCCTCAACTCCTAAACCCTGAAAGCACTAATCCCCTTAAAACCCTGAACAAACAGAGCCAACCCTTCCTTCACCTGTTCCGGATCTTTGGGGTTCGGCCCGCGCCTCGCCAAAGAGGTTTAGGCTTTAGGGTTTAGGGGTTTAGGGTTTAGGGAGTCTTTTGGTGGGTTTCATAAGGCCTCTTGCTTCTAGGGTTTCGGGCTGTGGAGTGTGGGAATTTAGAGTAGAGTTTAGGTTGTAGGGGTTTCGGGTTCAAGGGTTTGGGGCTTTTGCTGTTGAAGGGTCTAGGTTTGTTGGGTTTGGGGTGCTTGGTTTTGGGTTGGGGGTTCTGGCTTGCAGGATCGAGGGCCTAAGGGCTGTAGAAGGATGAACAGCCTTAGTGTGCTGCAGTGTGGTGGTAGCGTTGTGCTGGCTGTATGCGTCCACTGTGGACCCATGTCTTGACATCCGTTCTTGCCCCCCCCCGGCGCAACGGAGCCATGTTTTGCATAAACCCCTATGACATGAGCCGAAGCATATGTCGGTGCTCCCGTCTTGTCTCACTTGGTCTCGGACTCTAAGAATCGAGAGAGTGCGTCATCCCAACGACCCTTTCCGATTGAACTACTTGCGCAGTTCGTTTATCTGTTGACACACACACAGGGATGACGTGGCGAGCTGCCGATTGGAAAACATGTCCGAGGTGCAACCCTGGCACTATTCATGCTTCTGAGCCGCCGAACCTTTCGAGACCGTAACTATTTTGCTTTACTGCGAAATAACTCGGTTCCCATGGCTACAGCACATATCAAGCTGAAGGCAACTGCGATTTTTCACACAAGTGGCATCCAAAGTCAGAAGATGAGCCAAGCCACATCAGCACTTGGTTCATATACTCCAGCTTTTCCTTCGATTCTGTGATGTGCAACGCGCACACCCATTTGTGCTTGTGGCCCTTTGAACTGAAACTACCATACCCATCACCACAACTGCGAATACAACCACGAGAAATGCCGCTGCAGTGGTGGCAGTGGTGGTAGTAACAGCAGCAGTGGCAGCAGCAGTAGCTGTAGCTGCAGCTGTAGTGCAGCAACAGTCGTGGTAGTAGAAGCTGTTGTTGTGTGGTAATGACGGCCATAGTGATGGCCAGCACGGAGTTGTTGCATTACCACCTGTCTCTTGGTAGTAGTACTACTCAGACGATGGTCTTACTAGCAATTCGCGCTCGTAGCGATATCCAGAACTGGATAAATCTGCAACAGCCACCGAACATCCAACCACTGCAGTGGGTGTAGAAGGAAAACCTTGGGGCACATAACAAAACTGCCAGGACAGAGGTTGCATTGTTGGATTACTAAAGAGTGGCAACATGATTTAAAAACAGGTACCTTGGCAGCTGTACTACGTTCAAACTCACATTATGAAACTTCTGGCATCGCCCTGTTACTCGTAAGCATGACATAAACAGATGTCACAGCAGAACAGGTGTCGTGGCCACAGCAATCTAGTAGGTCACAGCATTCAAGCCATCGGCGGAAGCAAGAAACTCGTCACAATTCGTCTGCTGAATAGAAGCAGAAAAAGAGCAAGTGATCCTAAACCCTACATCCTAAAACCAATCATTGTCCCTGCGCAAGAGAAATGATTCTGGCAGAGGCTCATCAGTGAGCTGACCGCGCTGCATGCCTCGCACTTTGAAACCTCTGTGTGGAGTGTTACAGGGCTTCGGGCGCGGTGTGGGGCTTCAGGGTTCAGGGTCAACCCCGCCGCATCGAAATTGTTGTCACCGGTGGTGCACATATCCATACAAGAATACGTGTTGAAGGTTTCGGACAAAACAAGATTTCTATGATTTGAGGCATGCCCATCAGCTGTTGTCGAAGCAAATACCTTGACAAGAACATCGACAGTGCATTGGCACAGACCCGAGACATCCAGGCGGAAGCCCTGATGCCATCCATGTACTTGGGTCTTGAAGCCTGCATTAAACCGAGCCCAAAAGCATGACATGCCTTGCGCCCGAGCTCCCTGCCGAGATCCATGTATGGGACAAGTGGGGGCACGAATGCGTTGATCAACAGCATGGTGAAGGCTCCGTTGACGAGGCCTCCCACTGTCACTGAAGGTTTTTTGCGGACTTGACTGCACATTCTTTGTTTTTCCCTAGTTGCCAGTTAAGAAGTCAACATCCCCCCGAAACGGTGTGGCATCTTTGCTAATTCGATTCCCTGCGAAGCCTCCATCCTGATACCACTCCTTCGGCTGCGAGTAAATGAAGAAGAGCACGCCGGCTGTGTTCACCACCCTGGGACTGCCAATTCTGTCTACTCCAAGGATGTGGCCCACAAAGACGTGACGCTTCAGCGAAAAACAAATCAGGTATACCACACATCTGCAAGCTAGCAGCTAGCTCTAACATCATTCCTTAGTAAATAAATACTGTCATTGTACAGAGGCTAGAAAGGGAGACTGCTATTAGTTATTCAGGCCCCCGAGATGAATCTACAGTCTTGTTGCAGCGAGGAGCATGCCAACCGACATCTTCGCAGCTTGAGAGAACTCCTGCTCCGTAAGGGTGTCGTGGTACTCCTGCACAGGTTGTGGTTTCAGGGCTTAGGGATCAGAAGTGCGCCTTCCTGCAGCTCTTGCAAAGTCCTACAGGTGTTTCAGGCTCGGGTTTTTGCAGGGTGAGGCTGGGGCTGGACAAAACGAAAAGCTCACGAAACACCTCTGCAGTGGTCACCTCATCGGAACCACAAGCGTAGAATGCTGTTAACCCCTGTCCAAGATTCACTCCGTCGTGACCTAGAATAGACCGCGGGCCGAGACTGGTACATGGGCCCGCTCACCCTCGTCGCCTTCTCTCCGAGATATCGAGCTGCAGCCATCAGCAGCGCATTTACGATCTCAGCACACCGCCCGCGTCAGCTTGGCAGTTTGCAGGGTTTTGCTGCTTGGGGGCAGCCAACATCAAGCAGTGGGGCGCACAAGCAAGCCGTTACGAGAATGCTTCTGAGGATCCGAAGGGGGGGGGTTTCCCAATCAGGGGCTCCTTCCTAAGGTTCAGGATCCCAGCATGTAGGGTTACAGAGAGCCTAAGGCCTCGCCGGTCGTGACTGATGTTCAGCGCACGATGCCTGCAGAGCCGCTGGAACAGAACTGGCGTGGCGCAAAAGGCCTTGTGAAGGATTTTGCTCATAGCTTTCGGAGCTGATGCAGGCAAGCCACAGCCACCGTAAGAGCTGGAAGCAACGACAGCCATATCCCGGCAGAGCCTGGAGCTTCTCAGCTCTCGCTATTTTAGATCTCTTCTTCGACACATTTGCGAGGGGTAGTCTTGTCCTTCCTGAGTGTAAGGTTACACTGACACTACAGTACCGATAGCCCCGAACCAATACTAGGAGACATCGCAGCAGTGCTACTCTTGGTGTTAACAGTGGGAGTGGTCGTCGTGGTCCTCGTGGTCGTCCACATCTTCGTGATAGGCGTCGTCGTCGTCGTAGTAGTCGCGGCAAGAGTAGAATACCAGCAGCCGTGGCAGCATGGGCAGGAGCAAAAGCACGAGCCAGACCGGGAGTAGAGGCAGGAGCAGTAGCAACAATAGTAGCAATGGCAGTAGCAGTAGTAGCAGTAGTAGTGGTGGTAGTGGTGGTGGTATTAGTAGTAGTAGTAGTAGTAGTAGAAGAAGAAGAAGCAGAAGTCGACGTCGTCGTAGTAGTGGTTGTGGTAGTAGTAGTGGTAGTAGTAGTGGTAGTAGTAGTGGTAGTAGTAGTGGTAGTAGTAGTAGTAGTAGGATCAGCAGTAGCAGTAGCAGTAGCAGTAGCAGTAGCAGTAGCAGTAGCAGTAGCAGTAGCAGTAGTAGTAGTAGTACTGTAGTAGTAGTAGTAGTAGTAGTAGTACTGCCGC